CATGTGAAAACATGTAAATTTAACAATGTATACATAACACCACCTCCTAGAATGAACAATGTCCAATCCCCGGCCTAGGTGACGTAGTCTTTCAGGTAGGCGGGGCATGCCAGTCTCCTACTTGACCTGCACAGATCACTTGTCCCTGGGCACTCAGCTTGCTGTTCCTCCGGCTGCCTGGGAAGGAACCTTCTGAAGCTCCTCGGCCCACGAGTCGAGCTCCAGCCTGGTTCCTTCAGCTCCTGAGATAAAATTTCTTCGCGGGATGGCTTCGGACACAGCTACGTGTTCGCAACTCGGGTTGGATGATCGTCCCTTGATCTCCTGGCTTGGTGGGGTGGGTTCTGACCCATCTGCTTCCCAGCTGATGATTGAACATGCTCTGCAGGCCAGAGACCTGGGGTTCTTTTCCATTCTCCCACCACAGATACCCCAACTTATTTCTACTTAAGCCTTCTATATTTAATTGCAAAATATGTAATATATTAGGATTAATGACACTCCAAACCGGCTGAATACCATACCTGGATATATTCCTTAGATATTGAATTATAACATCTATCCTATTGTGATTCTATGGAGCCATCTTATGGTGATTTTTATAGTTTTATTTTAATATTAAATTAATATTAGGTTAGCAAAGATGTTTGAAAACGTATCAGCTAAATGTTGGATGTGTAATCAGACACCAGGTTCATATGCCCAAAGGCAAAAAATAAAAATAAAAATAAAAATACTGGATTAAAATGCATGCTTGGTTAGAAAAAAATGATAAAGCAACATATAGATTTGAAACCAGAAATTTTCTGCTTGGGATACTACCAGAACAGTATAATATAGGGAATACATATTTAATTCTGCATGTAGTAACGGCAGCAATAATAGGGTTTGCACAACAATAAAAAAATTATGAAGTTCCAACAGATGAAAGTGTAATTAAAAAAATACTAGAATGTGCTGAGATGGATAGATTGACACTTAGGATGAAAGAGGAACAAATAGAATACTTTTTACCAATGGTTAACTAACAGAAACAGAGGTAAGAATTTAAAGAGATAATAAACATTTGTATTGAAAATATGGACAAACTAACTATATTATTATTTTGTGATTAATATTGATATGTTTATTAAGATTACTATGGTTATGATATTGTTATGTTATTGTTTATGGTTATTGTTGTACCTTTACTCAAAATTAATTATGCCAGACAACACACTGTTCAGATAGACATGGAATTTTTTATGTTTTTAGAGAGAAAATGTACGTATAAAACATATTCAAAAAAAATCACAACTGCTCTATACTGCACTAGTAATATTGCATCCACTTCAGGTCTCCAAATGAAAAAGATGCTGAGACCCTAGAAAGAGTGCAAAGAGCAAGAAAGAGGATAAGGAGTCTGGAAGCTCAATCATATGGTACAGGGCTAACGGAACTAGGTATGTTAACTTTATTAAAGAGAAAGCTTGGATGTCATGATAGCCATTTTCCAATACTTGAAACGCTGTCATAGAAAAGAGGGAGTTGATTTATTCTCCAAATCAACTGATGGCTGGCAAGAAGCAATGGATGATATTGCTCATCAGAAGGAGCTCCAACCTGAAACTAAGGAGAAATTTCTTGACACTAAGAACAATTGGTCAATGGAACATCCTGGTCCCTGGAGTTGTGGGTACTCTATTGCTGGAGATTTTTAAGAAAAGGTTGGACAACCATTTGAGGTGGAATAAGGACTCCTGTCTTGGGAGAGGGGGGCTGGACTAGAAGATTTCCATGGTCCTTTCTAGTTTTATGATTCTATAATATTACTTATTTTTGTGTTATGTTTTTCCAGCAAAAGCATGAATAAGAGTTGGGATTATATATTCTTACAGAACATCAAGATATTTAAGTATCACCCTAGCCTTACTGAGAATCTGCTGTAATTTTGCACATTTTCATAAAATTAATTGGGGATTAATCATTGTCCTCAGAAAAATAAAAGATAACAAAATTCTTTTGAAATAAAGTGTGAGATTATTATTCCCTTTTAATACAATACTTCCTTAAACTGCATTCTATTCAAATGTATAGACTTCAAATTTTTCCCTTGTCAGATTTGCTTCAGAGAATATTTGCTTCAGAGAATATTTGCTTCAGAGCAATATACAGATAGAGTTAGGGATATTAATCATATTTGCTTCAGAGCAAATATGATTAATATCTCTAAACTCTGTATCTTTAACATCGTGCATTATATCAGCAGTCAATTAAATTCAAATCAGGCTTCCAAAACTTCAGCAGTCATTCAAGTACAGAGTATGGAAAAAAGTAGAACAGTGATATATAATTCCAGAGGTGCATGTTTAAAAATTATAACTACAACTGGGTTTATTAGGAAGGTAGTTCTTGTGAAGTGAATTAAGGACAATAGTGTAAAAATTCACATCTAAATAGAATCATTTAATGGTGTACGGTTAAAATAAGGGCATTTATGCAGCCAATCCTGCCAAGTCTTCCTCACTTTTGCCAATTAATCAGGCATATACAGAGAACATCAAGGCAAAGGAAAGAACTCGTAAAAACCTTATTTCATTCATTTCATAAATGCACAGTACATAAATGGGATATGAGAAAAATAATAATAAATGATTTAAGGAGCACTAGAAATTCTTTAGAAATGTTAAAAAATTTCAAGACAAATGAGTAAAGCTATATTCAAGAATTTTACTAGCTACAAAAACACACCATTGCTCGATTTTTATGACTCTTTAATATTTGGAGTTCTTCCATTTAGTCCATAAAATATCCATTTATATATATTATGTTGATTAGTGTTGCATATAAAAGGCAAAAACACAGAGCACTAATCAACAAAAATGCTGCTAAGATTACTCTTCTTAAAAGTTATACATTAAGCCATTAAAATCAAATCATTTTCCTAAATCAGACTGAGCAATGCAGCAAGCATTGGAGGAATATTATATAACTCCAATATGAATAAGAAGTCTACATGTGTTTAGCTCCACTGATGTGAGGAATTCTGAAATGAAAACTCACCAACTTCAGCTTTTATCTTACAAAATTTGGCACAATTCATTCTGGACACACTATAAACCTTCATCGCTCATTTTAAAAAAATCACTTTATAAATATGGTTCAATAGGTCTCTTGTTATTAGACTTTCATTATTCACAAACAGCAAACTGAGCATCAGGCTTCCTTGTGTACTATGGCATGGAGTTCCAAGTAACTCTTTTTGAATCAATAGCATTTTAGTGCAAGACATGTTTTCAAATATTTATCATGTAAAACATTGTCCTTTCTCACCTCTCCAGTCAATAAGATTTTTTCATGTTCATTCTGCTGCATTTAATTTCACAATTAATAAATTAAGTACTTTTCTGATTCCAAGATGTATTGTTTAGATTCTAAAAGCAACTTGTTCTTCAGAGACATAAAACAGTTCATTTGGAATATAGAATTCTTACCTTACATAAGTGGCAAGCTTGCAGTAAAACCTGATGGTGATGGTGTTGGCTTATCCCACTAAAAATATGGTGGCTCTTTTCTACATCTTCCAGAAGAAGCAATCCAATGAACTTTGGATAATATCTTTCCTCTTTTCCTCATAGATGAGATTATAGCAGTGGACTGTATCATGGACAGCTGCACACATTTTCGTGAAGCGTTTGACAGTAGTCTTGTGTTTTGGACAATGACCCCAACCCTACAACTGCTTTGGCGGGGCAATTTTTCCTGTTTTTACTAGCTTTCAAATTCCATGAGATCTTTGTTGGAGATTTCTTCCATGTGTGCGACTAATTGCTTATCTCCAAGTCGAATTGAAACTCCCTGCTCTCCCTCCCCCACCCACCCACCCCGGTGCTTCATTGCAGACATTCAGTTGCCAGACACCACATACAACTTAGCAGCAACAGTACTGATCTGTGTCCGAGTGGATCTGAGAACAGTACATGAGAGATTGGCGAAGTTGAGAGAAAGCAGGAAAGGAAGTTGAGAAAAGGTTAATTTTCAGCAGGCCACATATGCATGTGATAGAAACTAACTCTTTCCCGCCTTCTCCTGACTTCTGGAACCTTCTAGGATGGACTTGTGAACCAATTTGTTCATATCACTGAAAGTTTGCAACTCAAAAGTTTGTAAGTTGAGCAATATTTCTGTATTGATAGTTCCCATCTATATATCATCACTCAGCACACAATTTCAAAATGTTTTTTTTTAAACTTCTTAAATGTTTCCTGTAAGGTGAAATAATATTCAAAAATGTTCTTTAAGGCATTGCCTAACAAATTTCCTGCAAATTACTTTTTCATGATAAATTATTTGAAAATAACCATTTACAACCATATCAACAGAGTATTAAAAACAGTTTTATTTGTAGATAAACACATGACTTTATATAATAGAACTACCTTCCATCATCATAGAATGCAGTCTTTGGTGTAAGCAAGAATACTGCTACATTCCATAATTGTTATGAAGTCCATTAAAGAATTGAAGTTCTATCTTGCAAAGATTTTTAAATCACCTAATTTTTAACTTTGAAAATAGCAATATATATGTAATAGAAAAAGTTGCATTAATTTTATTGCAATACATTTTAATTGATTAGCCATGATTGAGGAAATTATTCAATTTATGATTTCTTTTAAATAGCCAAGGCTACAATAGCTTCAATTCAAAAAAATCATAAATACAGAATGTAGCCATAACAAATGGAAATAAGTATAGAACATTAGAAACCATTATTTATTGTGAAACAGGTACCAAATCAAAGCATACAATCACCATTATTTTTAACATGTAAATGGTTTTCTTACTTTCAAATATAACAATTTTGGTTAGTTCTATCACCTATAGGATTAGGAGTTGCTCATATACAGTGGCAGACCAAAAAAATTAATTGTTTGATACAAGAGAGATATCGTAAGTAGAGAAAAGCAAATCACTTAAGGCTATGATATTTAGACATTCAAGAAAAGTTCCAAAGTATCTTCAAATATACAATTTATAGATTTAGAAATAGTATTCTTCTTCCAGAAGAATAAGCACCTTTAGCATAATTGGTCCTTCTCCTGTAGCCCTTTATATAGATTCCACAGGATTAAATAATTCTGTAAAGTCATATTGCATAAGAATAAATCTATTTCTATAATATTGGGGCTAGGCCAATGGAAGAATAGGCATAAGAAGCTGTAAAAATTCCTATTTTACAGATATTGATCTCTTAAGAAAAGATTCCTGAAATTAACCGAAGACTGAAAACACAGAAGACTGATATAAAGAACTTATAGAAGAATGCTTAGAATTTGTCTGAAAAATACTGAAATATAATTCCTAGATAAATGGCAAAGGGCTGATATTGCCTTTGCCAACTTATGGAGTAGCAATCCAAATTACTTGTGTAAGTTAGTCTTCTTTTTAAAACTAATATTATGCCGAATAAATTATCAAGTAGTTCAGGTTTATGATTAATATTTCTCCAAAGATGGTGTTGTTTATTTGCAGTGGGTTAGTTGGAGATCCAAGAATATTGACACAAATTGTACTGCATGTTATCATATTTATGTTCTCTGCATACTCTACTGACATTGGCAAGTTTGTGTTGGAAAACTGTATTTGTCCTAGATTTTCTTCCTCAAAATATTTTTAGATCTTTATAAATAATTTCAACTTAAAAATTATTCTCTCATTTACAAATTGGGAGTGTTTTATAATAAAAATAAAAATTAGAAACCTTAGTTGTACATACTTTGTCATTGCTTTAATTCAGTGTGGGTGATTTTTGCTTCTCAAAATAATTATGATAGGATAATTTTCATGTTTTCTGGTTTTTGAAATAGTAGAAATATAATATTATAACAGAAATGGTCAGACAAAGTTAACATATACTAAAAGACTGAAGCACCTGTTTTTACTTTAAATATAACTATCTTGTCATGGAAGTATTGATTGGAATGAGTTTTAATACCTACAAGGGAATTTTTATTTAACATGTATTTTAATTTTATTTAAAAATGGAAGAAAAGAAAAATGAACATAATGCTGGGCTTTATTAATGTAAAAAAAGAGTTTTTTTCATTATGTCTCAACTGAATTATAAAGACCTGCTCCTTATAGATTCAAAAGACCTACTCTTGGATTTTGGAGGACAATGGAACCTTCTTCTGAAAGCTTCAAAAGTATTGGCAGAGAAGATTTCAGAATATGTCAATTATACTTGTTTTCAAACTATCAAAATGAGTGATACAGGTAACCGAGTTACAAATGTAATGGAGCCTGCCAATTACATTCGTAACTTGAGGATTCATAGGAGTGAACCATATAACTTGAATGTGATCACTTCCTAATTTCGTCCATGCATTCGTGAGGTATCTCAAGGTGGGGAAGGCCATGGGGGGGCGTAGTGCTTCTCACCACACAAGGCCTGCCCACGGAGATATTTCATGCTTCCTGCCCGACCAGGTCACTTACCTTACGTACATCTTGATGATCAAGGGAACTATCTCCTCTCCAGCCTCTCCACTGTGGTTTTGCCTTGAGCAAAGGCTTGCCAAGGCCTGAAGAGATGAGAGATTGTATCCCTGCAGGCTCCAATCATCTTTACAAAAAATCTTTGCTGCCGAGAACAAAGACCAAGAGGGGCTCCATTCTTGGTGGCAAAGGCCTTGAGGAAAGGCCTTTGTGGATGCAAATGGAGGAACAAAAGAACACATGTTCCCCTTCCCAGGCTCTGTTTTTAGCAGCAAAGGCTTTTTGTAAAGACGGTAAAAGGCTTTATAAATGGAGGGAAGGGTTCGGTATTTTAAGCCTCCATTCTTTGCAAATGCATCGAAGGCCTGAAGCACCGCACCGAAGCAAGCCAAGAAGCCAAAGGCTCACTAGATTTTCGCAAGGTGAGTATCCACAGGATCAGTGTCTGTGGAGACCTGGTCGGGGGGCAGGATAGGCAGGGCAAATGTTACAGTGCCTCTGCGATCATTCGTAAAACTGCTGCAACATTTGTAACTTTGAGACTGTGTCGTAAGTACTTGGGTGGAGAGGTTATGTTGAAACTTCAAACTGTCTCTAAGTGTCATAACTCGATTACTAAACAAAGAATATTCTTTACAAGTTTTTCATTTCTCAATTTTAGTTGATCATATCAACCTACTGAATTATCATACATCTCAACAAGCACACTTAGGATCTATACTTAAAAGGTCACGTTCTTTGTTGTATTATACTGGATCGGAACATATACTGCTACTTTTCCATATAATTTTTAAACATATTATGATGGTGCAAGAGAAAAAGAGAAAAAACTCTAAAATAGACAAAATTTCTACCTACTCACCTATTTTCCCCTTATTTCCTCAGATGAACTCTTTAATTAATTGACATGCCATGCCATGCTATTTATAAGGTTATTTCAAGCTGAAATAAATGTAAACAGATTTCACAACATATCTTGGGAAAATGTCTTTCCCAAACCAATTTAGATTTATGTTGAGGTAGAACTTAATTTTAGTTTCTTTCCATTCATTATTGAAAGCTGTCCAATAACATATAAGCAATTTTTCTTGATAAATGTAAATTTAACAGCAAAATGCATAATGGTGAAGGCGAGTAAGGGAATGAAATCTTTTTCAGCAACTTTAAGAGTTTGTAATGTTTTCTTTTTTATTTTTATTGTGGAAATATTTTCTAGTCCATGCTCCATTTAGACCCGTGGCATCTATTGCAATATCAATAAAATCATCTGGTATCAGCCATTTCAGAAATATCAAAAAAAGAAAGCTGAGCATAGCCAAAAGAGTAAAAATGCAACCAGTCACTGGGCCACAATGAGTGATAAGTCTCTCAAGTCGTTTGCCCATTGGCAACACAGTTTCCTTTGCCACTCTGTTGTACACCTGCAGGAAGATAAATACATAAATTAGGTTATTAGATTTGTTTGCAATATGTAAATTGTATTAACTCAGAGACACTCATTGTTAATCATAAATATATTATAAATGAAACACTAGAATACTCTAGGGAATATCCTTTGATATATCTAAAGGAGTCAGCTAGAAGAATTTATTTCCCTAATTTTCCAGATGTTTTCCTAGAATAATCTAGATTCCTAAAATTTGTCATTCAAGTAATTTTATACATTTCCTATCCATAATATAGTAGGTTTGGGCATGTAATCCAAACTGGATTAAGATTACAAGTGTATGATTATTAAATAATTACAGAATATAATTACATCTTCAAATGAATATGGACAATGAATTAATCAGACCATCATAACTCTTTCCTCAAATCTCTGGATATAAAATCAGATGTTAGAAACAACCCATAAAAAAATAACTTTTACAGCAGCATCAATTGGTCATGGTTTTGTGCCACATTGTTGGCTCCCAAAGATTATTTTTCCAAAGCAAAGGGTTATGGAAGAAATTTCTCCTACCCATATGCAGTAACTCCAATCTTAATAGGACAGCAAGCGGCTTTTAAAATAAGTAAGATACATTGGACAAGTAGCCCACAAAAATGAGACTGAGGTTATCAGATGGATATGAAGGGATCTGCAAACTGCTGTCGGCAGAAATTTTCCATGTGAACTAGTACACCATTAATAGATAAGTCCCTTGTCTATACGTATTCTGGCACCCCAAATTCTCTATATGTAAGATCCTAGCTGGCCACAGGTTAAGTGCATAAAGAAAACAATAAACCGTAGCTAAATTTCCACAATGAGATAAATTATTAGAAAACATGAAGATGTTTTCAATGAATGTAGAGTTTCCAAACAAGAAAGTCCACCCACTTTTTCAGTTCTTTTTGCAACATTTCTCCAAGTGTAGAATGTTCTAACTTTGTCATGCATAATTTCTGGAGACAATAATGATCCTGACTTCAGTTGACTAATAGCCTTTTCCAATCCATTACAAAGGGATTTCACTGAAGGTTCACACAAAATTATAAAATCATCTGGAAGTACTTCAGGAATCCCACCAACTCTTGTACTGACCACCTGAAACAACAGATAAATTATTATGCTTTTGCTAGGCAATTTGTGCCCCCAAAATACAAATACTATACAGATAATATATAATAGTTTGTTTTGTAAAAAAGAGGTCTATTGTTTTTCTGACAACTATACAAATTTTTAATATAATCATAAAACCTTTATCTCACTTCTGAACTATTTCCTAACAATAACCAGCATTATTTTAATTTGTTTGTAGGAATCTTTATCTCAATAATTCTGCCTATTATTATTCTATTAAAATATTTCACATTACTTGCTTTGACTGTATTGTATTCATTCTTAATCTGCTTATCCGCTCTTCCTTTGTAAAATACTTATTACCTTCAATCATTTAAAAGCCCAGTGCTTTGAAAAACGTTTACATGGGGACCTGCATTAAATAAGTCTGTTTAGATTGTCCTGCCACTCCAAAGTAGAAAATAAAGCAATTGATTTACCGTTACCATTCTTTAAAATAGTACCAGTTTGTGTAAAGATTAAGGCACCAGGCTAGAAACTAGAAGACCACGAGTTCTAGACACAACTTATATGCAAAGTCAGCTGGGGAACCTTTAGCCATTCATTCTCTTTCATTCCTAAAAAAAAGGCAATGCTAAATCATTTTCAAAAACAAAACACCAAAAAAACCCCCAAGAAAACTGCAGTAACTAGTCCAGGCAGTTGCCGGGAGTCAACCCTGATTTGAAGGCACACACACACACACAAAAGGATACAATTGTCATTTGTTCCCATTTCGTTTTTTAAAATGTAATTTTCATATTTTAGTAGAAGTAGAAAAAATATAAAGAAGAATGTAAATATATTGCTACCAATTTCTTCACAGTAGTTATAAATGCCCATTTTTCCTTCTGCATAAAATACTTGTATTGACAGTCTTTATGCTGTTTTCAGGAACAACCTGGATTTGTACCTATTCCACATTCTCTATAAGCGGATCTAACATAATGATTTTTGAAATCTGCATTGACTTTGGCATATCACAAATATCCATACAGCCAAATATCAGGTCATGTCCTCCTAACTTTTTTATTTAGTCTTTAATTTTCAACAATACCCAAGCAAAACAATGAACTGTAAAATTCAATTTCAGATTAGGTAAACTCAATCCTCTTCTTTTCTTAGCATTTCATAACATATTTAACACATAGCTTTTTCCTTGGTATGCAAATTTAGAGATACCTTTTAGGTCTTATTTAAATGGTCTATCAGTTGCCAAAACCGGTAGTGTCTGGGGAAAAAAATCATTCCAGGCAAAACATTTATTTTTATCATACAAATTCTTCCCAATCATGACAAATTTATTTTCTCCCACATTAGCATGTACTTTTAATTTCATTCCATATCTTACATACTTATTTTGCAATAACATATAATTAATATTTGTGATAGTGATACACAAATATTTTATTTTTTTCTCAATTCTAAAACCAATTTTCTTTATCATTTGTTTGATCCTTTATTTTTGTAAGCATTTCTGTCTAACTCTTAATCTTAAAATTTGCTAGCATACCAAATAAGTCTGAATTACAGGCTTCCTCCATTTGTTTTTTGTTTTGCCTTTCTTTATCCTTAATACCGTATTTTTCGGTGTATAAATTGCACCTTTTTCCCCCAAAGAGGGTGAAAATCTGGGTGTGTCTTGTATTCAGAATGTAGCACCACCCACCTGCTCTGCTCATTGAATTTTTGGGTGATTCCAGGAAGCGGAGATCCTCAATTCCACTTGGATTTTGATAACGAGCTTTTAATCCATTTAAAACAAACCTATCACCCCACGCGTATTTTACTGGAGGGGGTGGGGTGGAGTATGATTTTCCTGGAGGCAGAGGGAGGGATTTAGCACCGAAGGCTCCACTCCCGAGACACCCCATCTTCCTACATAGGTAGGAAGACAGGGCATCTCGGGAATGGAGACTTCGGTACCAAGTCCCTATTCTGCCCCCATGAATATCATACCCCACCCCACCCCATTCAGTTAAATATGTCTAGTATGATAGGGTTTGTTTTAAATGGATAAAAAGATAGTTAACAAAATCTGAGTGGAAGTGAGGATCCCCACCGCCTCGAACCACTGGAAATGCAAGGCACAGAGGCAGCGATAGTCTGTGGCAATTCCTGCAGCCTGGAACAGCTGATTGGGGGTTTTACACCCACCAATCAGCTGTTCCTGCTGAATCAGGCTGCAATAAGGGGCTGAAGCTGACCAGGCCCTTTGCTGCAAGGATACTAGCCAGATTAATACTGATGAATGCTGGTAGGCAGAGGCAGAACTTTTTTTTCTTGTTTTAGTCCCTCAAAATTAAGATGCATCTTATACTCCAGTGCATCTTATACTCCAAAAAATACAGGTAAGTCTCCTTTGACTCTCCATAATTAGTCATACAATCTGTCCCAAATTCATTTTTATTTTGTCAAATCCACTCACTTCTTTAATATTAAAGAAACAACAATGTTAATTATTGTTAATTGTTGATAGATAGATAGATAGATAGATAGATAGATAGATAGATAGATAGATAGATAGATAATTACTGATATTTGTGATAAGGTAGAAATAAGGTAAAACTTGTATGCAACTGTGAGCAAGTATAAACAGAGGGATAAAGATGGCAACTATTACTACTTTAACAAAGACAGGGAAAAAACCAACATCCAACCCTGCGTCAGCAGTATCCTCACCCTCAAACTAAAGATCTATCGAGCATGCATTGGGGCTGCAGAAAGGTGGATCAGCGGCAGGAACAGCAGGACCGGCACAAACAATGCAAAGTATGCAAGTAATGCTACAGATGATACAAGTAAGTAAGTAAGTATAATCTTTATTGTCATTGTACTTAAATATAATGAAATTGGTTTTAACCTCACTGGTGCAAAATTATAACAGAAACAAAAAAAGAAAGAAAAAGAAAAAGAAAAAAAAGTAGTGTGTGCATGGAGTGATTGTGGTTGTATTTAAAAGTTTGAAAGCCCAAGGATAGAAACTATCTTTAAACCTGTTTGTTCGGCTGGCTATACTTTGATGTCTTCTGCGTGAGGGTAGAAGTGCAAAGAGACACGGACCAGGTTGTGAATCATCTCTGAGTATCTTCCTAACTCTGCTAAAGCAGTGAGATCTGGAGATGTCATCCAGTGGTGTCAGAGGGAAACCAATAGTTTCTTGTGCCGAATTGATCACTCTCTGTAGTGCCTTCCTGTCCGCAGCTGTTAAACCACCATACTGTACTGTAATATAATATGTGAGGACACTTTCTATAGTGGACCGATAGAAAGAGGTCATCAGCCATTGTTCCACCTGATTTTTTCGCAGGACTCTAAGGAAATGAAGT